ACAATATATACAAATGGTTGAAAAAGTAGTGCCTTAGAGCTTGGCCTCTTGCTATCTTATTAAATATTCTAATCTATATTCTAAAATACCATTACATCTAATAAATGAACTGTCATATTTTATTATCTGTTAATAAAGACCAATTTCAAATAAATTATTCCTGGAGAATATCATGTGGGTGACTCAGATACAATAATTCCTCTTTGTACGATTTGAATATTCAGATTTAATTTAAGCCATAAATTCTAGGATCGATAAGTTGACGTTAGTGGAATTTTAGAATATGACATTTTCTGAGTAGAATACCAATGTGTAATATGAGTGTCAAAACAGATTGATTGTTGTACAGTATACTCTAATATATTAACAGGTTTTCTTTCTCATAGGCTAATTGCATTATTGTTCTGTTTTAAGATTTTGTTCTTCATCCTGTATTGTTTACATTGTGTTGAAAAGTTTGAGGCCATTTATTCTGTCATTTGAAAATTGTTTACGTAGCAATTTGTTTTTCCAACATCTCACTCTCCCTCCCACACTGTATATCAGGTACAATATTGTGTAGAATTTAGATCAAGGTAATACATTGTAGTGCAATTAATGTTTTGTTGCTTCCCTATGATAGTTTTCACAAAAAAATGTTTTGAGAATAATTCATGATCATTTAGTTAGAGGGCAACTTGGTACATATCTTGGTTTCAGCATTTCAAACTGAAGCAAAAGGAGATATTAAAATACAAAAATTCTCAGAAAATGAGGTCAGTTAATCACTTTTGCTAGAAATATAGAAATGCATAAACTTTTTATCAGATATGCCAACTTAAAACTTCACCTTCAGTGGTATTCAACATATACCATTATGATAAGCCACTGATAGCTTATCAATTGCCTCTGCAACTCTAAAATTCTTATAGAAATGAAATCCATAATTTTCCTTGCATACATTTTGTAAGATTCAATGCTAGATGTTCCAGTGCCTCATGGCCCTCACCCACATATCTTTTTCAATGTGTGCAAATGGATATTCAAATGGTTGAAATGTAATATCCAGATTTTCAACTGGGTGGTATATTTGGCAGAATATACTAAAGCCATTCAAAGTTAATTAATTATTTATTATTCTGTTAAGGGTGGGGTAGGAAATTCCCCCTCCCTTATAATGAAGGGGCCCATAACACAAGTTAATTTTGCATAGTATCTTTCCATTTTTAGTCCAAGAGTATTTTTGTACATCATCAACAGTTTCTCAGCAAAATATGAAACTATTTCACATTTTCTAGCTTTTAAGGAAGACCTTTTAACACTTGGTCAAATATGAAAATTCAGATTTCACATATAGATGGCAGCCAATACCATTACAGTGAATATTATTATATTATAGTATTATATGAACACCTCCATCTCCTTATTATGCAAACACTTTATGAATATAGGAACACTCATATGTGAACACTTTATAAGTATATGTGAATGTTTTGTAAATACAGTAAAATCTATGTAAGTGGAACACCTTTGGTACTTCTTAAAAGTGTTCCACTTGGGAGATCTTCCTCTTATAAAAGTACATTTAACATTTAAGTGTTAGTTTTTGGGCGATAAAGTGTTCCACTAACAGATATGTTTCACTTTACAGGTTTCAATGTATATGTGAATACTATCTAAATGAATATATGTGAACACATTATAAACTTATGTGAACACTTTGAAAGTATATGTGAACACTTTGAAAGTATATGTGAATGCTTTGTAAATATGTGAAAATACTATGTAATATATGTGAAAACTTTGTAAATATCTGTGTATGTTTTATACTGTACATGTATATCTGAAATATATGATTGAATAAATGTTTTGGAAGAACATTTTAAAATGTGTACACTAGGACAAACGAGGAGGGAAAAACCCATGATTCAATTGATGACATACGATTTCCTCCTTTGTGCACCTCCTTTCCCGGAAGTACTTACCCTCCATCTTGGTTTTCAAAGTTTTTAAATTGACCTAGTTTTAAACCAATCAACGATCGACTCGCTAAACCAATCAGCGAAGATGTCATCTCAATACAGATTTACATTATAAGCGTATGTCATCTTTGAACCCTGGGGTTTCTCCCCCTCTTCTAGGATAAGTTAGTATTGTTAGTACCTCAGTGTAAATACTCGCATCTGATTGGTCAATTAGCAGTCAACATTTTTGCCTGTACCTCACTTGTGCATCATGGGATATCATATTATTGACCGCGTATGTTACTGTACTACACTTGTGAATTATGGGGAATATGACGTCACAATGTTTACAGAAAAAACATGGTAGGCGGACATTTTGTAAACGTTGATGAAAGTGATATTTTGACTTTTCTACACGACGAGTATAGCAAAAATACAAATAGAAACGCAAAATTAACATTAATTTTCTCAGTGAGTACGCAGATGTGCCGAAAACAGAGAGTTTAGCTTCCACTGTCTTCAGATTTGCTTAAAAAATTATTGCTGGCGTGGTTCGGAGAAAAGATTCTGAAATGAAGCCATGATTGATGACTGTCGTATATATGAGTATTATTAGTTTCTTCTGACTAACAAAACAATTGTAGACCTCTCCATTTGGTCAACCGTTAAAATCATATACCTCGACTGTAAACCTTGAAACAACTGTTGACCTCGACCTTCGGTCTCTGTCAACAGTAGTTTCTCGGTTTACAGTCTCGGTATACAATTTTGCCGGTTGACCTCTGGAGAGGTCAACAATTGTATACTGTACAATTACTGTATGTAATCAAGCCTAGGCTGAAGATGTTTTCGAATGTAAATCCCATTTCAATATTTTAAGTTTACATATTAGTAGGATTTTTTTCATAACTTCCTCACCTCAGTCTAATAATACATTCTTTGTTGGTTCATCCAAGTCAACAATAATTGACCACTCCTAATCATGATCACTGATAAAATACTGTTGACTGCTACTGGAGTACTGTTGACCTCTAATTATGGCATATTTACAAAATTATGTTAAGTTTGGACTTGCTAATACATCATTGTAGCATGTTGTAATACAAGAGAATGATTGATTCCATTTTAGCAGTGGGCATCTCAGTTGGATTTGCTTTGAGACTGTCATGTAGACATCTTTTTCAGTCAATCCAAATTTAAATAACTAGTGATCGTGTTATTTTCAAACAGTGGATAAGGTAATACATGTACAGTAGATGAAATAATATCAAGAATGCCATATCAAACTGATAACGTGTGGGTGTGGGGTCATGAAACAGAGTTCCAATCTTCAAACTTACAATGCAGTTTTTGACCTCTCTTTTGGCTCAGCTGAAAAATTGTACCCAACCATTAACTTTTGTAAGTACTGTTGACCTCTACCTTTATTTTAGTCTCAGTCCACAGATTGTTCAAAGTTTGCGGTTGAGGTATTCCAATTTATAAATTGATGTCTACAATTGTAAACAGTGTACCTTGCAGTCTACAATTTTGTCAAAACTTACCTGTATGAGTTGTACACTTGGAAGTAGAAAACAATTGTTGACCTCTTCATCCAGTCAGCTTGGCAAATTGGGCATCATCTCCAGACAAAACAATACATTGGGCACAATAATCAAAGCTATTGACCTCTCTTTAACCTATCAGAATCAAGTATTTAAACTAAAGTACTGTATAGGAAATAAGTTGCTCTTTCAACTTTGGTAAATATGAATTTAGCCTGCCATCTATATGGTATTTCATGCATTATCTGTGGGTAATCACTTCGTGGATGTTTTCAGTTGGGGCGAATATGTATTTTTCATATTCTGAAAATGTCAACATTCCTCCATTGAATTCTGGGTTCACACATGGGCTTTCAATTTCTAGTTGAAAGCCCATGGTTCACACTACCATTAAACTGGTAATATATTAAGCATTTCTTGAGCGCTCAAAATTGGAACTGTGATTATCATTAAACATGTATTGGACCAAATAGAGATACTTTTATATTTTCAGTAAATTACCAAAAGGTCTCTGATTCTTTTTCTATGTTATGATTTCCATAGTTACGGAGCTGATCATCTATTCAAAAGTGCTCCCATTTCTTTAACTTGGAGTCTCTCAATGGCATTTTCAAAGATAATTTGTAAAATACCTTGGAATCTGATTGAGATATTACTGAGTTATTAACTAAGAAATATTTTAAAGTAACTAAAGAATAAAGAATCAGAACTTTCTCAAAGTTTATGGATTGTCCCTTGTATGACCTTCACACCCAGCAATGACCATGGGGTGAGAGACTGACAGTTTTTCAAAAGCATAAACATTATTTATCTCTTAAATGATAACATATCTCACATATATGCAAGTTCCAGACACATAAGGCCCCCAGAAGATTGTCAAATGTGTTCCTGCCCTGTTTAGTCCTTGAGAATCTTATGTTTAGGTATGGTTTTTCTAATTAATTTATCAATGGCAGTACATGAACTTTTAAATGGCAGTCACTTAAATAAATATTAATACGTTTTTGATTGAGGAATTTTAACAGTAAACTATTTGGTTACTTGTATAACAGGATTTGAGAGGTTGCTGGTTTTCAAGGGGAATGTATCAGGATCTTGGTGTTTTTAATTAATTAATCAGATAATCTGCTCGTTTTCATACATAAAAGGGATTGTCAGTGGGGCCCCAAGAAGCTCCATTTTGGCCAGATCAACCTAAGGAATGGGAAACATGGGAAGGAGTGTATCATATTTCATTACTCTTGGGCCTCTATAAATGCCTATGCTATACTGCATGGATGTTGTGTGACCCATCATTGATTTGAAAATTGACACTTTAAATGTAAGGTTTAATGGCTCTGAAAAAGGATATGAGGTTTTAAAAATAAATATGGCTCATAAAATATAAGTTATAAGCGCTTAAAATATCTTATGTATAAGGGTGCTAAAACATTAAACATTACATTTCAAACTTAACCCTTCCTACTCCATATATAACCAACACTTCATGAATAAATGAACAAAACAAAATATGTAGATTTTTATAATTTTATATAACACACATTCACACGATATCACTGCAAATCAACAGGTCACAACATAGAACATTAAGAATTTCTCCAACAATATGTTTATCTCCATTGATTTATATAATTAAAAATAGTATTGTCACACTTAAATTTTCAACGTCCAGAAAATAGCATATACAATCATATATATGATTCAACGATTATTTAGTTCACGTCATAATCAATTGTATTGATGGAGATCTAGAGCTAAACTTGACATATATTTATTTAATTTCGATCAACATATTAAAAAAAGTAATTTCAATTGTTGAAACAGTTGTCATAAACTGGCTATATTATAACACATAATTGCATTTTAAAACCAAGCTGTTTAGCTACCTGTATAGATGCGGTAGAATTTATGCCATTGAACTCATGTTTTAATCATGTATTTTAAATAAGTATCATAAAATGAATAGCAGTACTCGAAAAATATAAATCAACATTGTAAGTTTAATAAGCTATTTAAAATGACATGTGAACTTCTCTTGAATACCAATTTAGACAATATTACATAAATATTTCATATGTAGTTTTGGCATTTAAATAAAACACAATGCTAAACCATTAATTCATAATTCATTAATGTTAACAATGAATAACTGTATGATGTTGCTATATGATGAAATATTTTATACCAACATATGCGCTGTATTTTACACTGAAATAATAGCAATATTGCTCATCGTTCAACTATAAAGGTATTCAAGAGATGCAAACAATATTTTACACTGACCTTGCATCAAGAATCTATTTCCCCCTCTCTCCCTATTTTCTCTATAAAATTGGGCGTGCAAAAAGAAAAGGAGGGGGGCTAGAGACTACTTTTACACTTCAGTCATTTTTCATTTTGGTACACTGCAGTTAATTTAATCATGACTTAATAATATAATAAGATGTGGTTTTTATACATTAAAGTTCCCATATTGCTTAGTTTCTCCATTGAATTTGGCAATAAAAAGCATGATAGCCATGGTATACAGGTGTAAAATGATTTCAATTTGACAAATCATCACAACTGGATTATCATTCATTCATATGGATGATTTAAATAGCTTTAATATACACAGGTAAAATGTAAATGTTGAAATTGCACTTCACTAATTAAAATCCATATACATTTTAACACATGTCACACTGAAGGTCAGCAAATGTCATTTTAGGACAAAATGTGTTAAATTATAAATATCATTAATTAAAAATGGTCAACTGCGTTTATAACAAATGTATTGTGCATAATTAAAAAGAATTTAATCATGAAATATCTTGGCGAGTTAATTAAGTTTAAGTTTGCTCACAAACTGTCCCAACTTTAAAATATAAGCTGACGTATGAATTTCATGTATGAATTTCACACTCAGATTTGACAGGTGTGTTCATGGGTAACTTTAATTGTTCTTAATTAACCCCCGTGGGGATAACTCTTTCACTCTCAAACACACTGTAATAAATATGTCACAAAACATATGGCAAATTCTAATAGGCTTTTGATTGGTAGCTACCATTGCACAACATATTGTTCATTCTCTTTGTTTTAACAAGGTATTGCATGACAGGTCTTACATTCAAGACATCTGACCAATTTCTTTGTTTGCTTGAGGTGTAATAATTTAATTCATTCCAGGTGAAGTCTAATTAATTAATTAATTCACCTGGTGACATAATTAAATTGAAACAAATTCCAAAATGACAATATTCACTATATAGTTTGTACATATACACCACAATATTGTTAAATGATCTCTCTGATGTCTTAAATGTTTATATTACAATTTTATAATGTCATGTTCAAAAACTACAAACAATAAGTTTGATTTTTTACAACATATTCTAGAATACATGAAAGTGAATATAATATGATTGAAATGAAGTTTAACATGCATCAACAGTTACAAAATACATATTGATCAATTTATGTGAAAACAATATGATAATTTGGTAGATATTACGCTGTACACAAATACATGCAATCCATTGTATTTCTATTCGAAATAATGCTCATTTTCACAATTAGTCATCACATGAGGATATTGACACATCCATTATGCATGGATTTTTTTTATTTCAATTTCATTTCAATTTCAACAGAGATGATTTATTTTATGTTGCTTAAAACAAACCCGTATGTTCAGGCTTTATTAGTTCAGATACTTAAATGTGGTATTTCAATGAAATTAATTTCATATTGTAATTGAACTTTATATTGCAGATCATATAAAGGCGGTATATAAAACATATATCTATGTATTGTATGTATATTGTATATTTATGATATATGATTTCCTTACGAGCAAGAATTACAAAACATAAGAAGGCATATAAAAATTTAAAGTGTTTAAACCGGAAATTAAATTTCAGTTGCCATAGCATTGCTTAAAAACAACAGAGAAGACTAACAATGAAAAGCCCAACCCAACATGATGTAGGCTAGACCATTACTTTAGTACAAATATAACAGAGACATAACTTATCAATTTTTCATAAAATTGGACTGTTATGAGGACGTCAATGGAATTAATGGGTTTCATTAAATTCGATAACAGTTCAACAATAGGTACATGTGTCAATTCAACTAAGCCATGATGTGTACCTCGATAGTTCTCCTAATTGTAACATTGTCTCAATCAGCCTCAGGAATACAGAATAACACATGACCATTGTCCATTAGCGAGCACTAATTTCATTTGAATTTTAAAACAATAGCGATAATCAAATTAGTGAATGTCGAAGGCGAATAGCTCGTTAAACCACATGAATACCTTACATTGGCAATATGACATTTCTATGGGGATATACAATTAGAAAACTCACAATTAATGTAATTAACATGAGTTGGTTGTTGTCACATTCATACGAGGCTCAATTCCAATGCAGCCTTCTGATGTCAGTTTCAAAAATATTCATATCACTCAAAAATTCATATGAAGCCAAGTAAAAAATCGATCGGATTTTCCGTATATCAAAAATGAATGTGACTCGTTTAAATTCCTTCTATAAGCCCTGGCACTGGAATTGTCTGTGATAATTATGAAGATATTGGAGAATTAAATCCATGAGCCATTCCATATAAAACAATTATCATTGAAACGCAATATTTTACTAGCTAATGCACTATGGATAGAATAACGGATGGATGATAATTAGATTGAAACATGTACCACAGGCAGAGCTGCATTTAAGTGCTATCACATGACCTTTCCATCAAATAAACATGTTTGTATGTATATATCGCTAGCATAACATTTCTAAAATTGTAATTTAGATATTGAAGTTTGGTAGGGAGGTGAAGGGTGGAAGTTCATATCCAAATAAGGAATGCTGAAATTGAACACCTTAGCAAGCAATTAGACCCAACTGGAAAACATAGGCAAAGAGCCAGCTTAAAATTAGTTGCTACTTAGCACTGGTAAAATATACTCATCACTACACAAGCTAAATTTGCTAGACAAATTGGCAGAATTTTTCCCCTTCTCTCCACGATGCCTCCTCAAATTTTTTAATTTATAAAGAACACAGAGCGCTAAGGAAATGAGACCTAATGGTTGCCAAGCAACGTCCAAGAAGAATGTTATTAACATAAAATCAATTTCAGTAAATCAATTTGATAACTTGCCATAAACTAATTAACATTTGAAATTAATTATCCCGATTGTTTCTTGCAGAATTATTGACCAGGTGCAGATGTCAGGCAATTCGAAATCTATTGTGTAATATCCAAACTCGTAATATGACTTCAATAATTTAGATGTAAAATTTGAGCATTATTTGAAAAGATTGGGATTGGTAGTTGTCTACTGTTGGCAAACACTTGCATTATCATTGATATATGGCAACATAAGTCAACAACATTCTGAGCTACATTTCTACTCTTCTTAAAAAGATCATTGCGGTTGTGTCTCTTGAGGATTACATAAAATGAACTCTGAGTATGAACATTCATGAAGTTCATGAGTCTTAATCATATCAGAAAATGACCGCTACAGATTTGGATTTCTCATGAAATCCTCGAGAGTTTCAACTCGTATTGATCTTCTTTTGAGAGGGTTGCACTTGTTTTTTCAGTTCCGTGTTGAGATTTGTATGATGTACAGATTTGTATGACGCTTAGACTGAATGAATAATAATCATGTATAATCGTATAATTTATGATAATAATATATAATAATAATATGAATATCAAGCGATGGTGGCTTTTCTTAGTTTCTCCTAACTTAAGTTGATGTTTCTTGTTGTTGTGCCTCTTTCAGGTACACTTTAGTAATATATATTAAATAATATTAATACAAATAAATTAACTACACTTTTTACTACAACTAAACTACATATCGCTGGGATATTTATGTTTTCAACTCCACCTAAAGTAAACTCCTCTATCCACTGAAGAAATCAGTCAAGTTTAAAAACAAAAAATAATCTATATACATAAGTGCCCAACTTTAACTAACAAGTTGGTATATAAATAAGTAGAGTTTACTTTAACTGGAATTGAATAGTTTCTTATATTAATTCGCTGCAAATGCGCAGTACAATATTGAACACTTGCCCGTGTATGTATGTCTAAATAGATACATTTTACACAGCACCGTTGACTTAGCATTTTTCACATACTATCAAAACTAAAAATGTTTTGCTACAACTATGGTATCAGCATATTTCAACCATGAGCGGGTGCCTGATATCATCTGAGATACATCCCTCTTAAACTGGTTATAAAAACAGAAACAAAAAAAGCCATAAAAACAAAGTTGTAATTTTGCCTTTTTAACTTTAAGTTTTTCTTATGTTAAGAGCAGTTAGAAGGCTTTAATATCTTTCGAGAAAAGGTCAAATTGTAAAATTCTTCTAAAAGTGCTAATTTATTGTTTTTGCCTGCCATAAGTTGAGCTTGTTTTCAAATTGGAAATTGAAGAATTTCGTTAACCTTTAACAGTTCATTGGCAACAGCATCTTAATTGCAAGTAAAACTAAAGATGAGATTCGGAGAATAGAGATTCTTGGAAGATGATAGGTAAGTGTTTAAATCTGGCACAGACATATAAATGATTGGTACCCAGCTTGTAGCTACGGCTGAACTTTTAACAACCCCCAATTTGACGCTTCAAACCTATAAATTTTCACTTTCAGCATTTGCCTTACTCAGGAATTTGAAAAGTTCAAGTGATGGGCTGTTTTAGAAGTCTTCATACACAGGCACATACACATGGTGTAAACTTTACTGATAGCTTCCAAATATTTAGACGAAAAGGTCCTGACTCATTTTCCTCTGCTTAGTTTTTACATTGCACATTTCAGTTGTAAATAGTTCAACTGTAAAGGTAGAATCTTCCATTTCTGAAGTCCTATTTCAAAGAGGGATCAGCTCATAATATTATCTGAAAGACTAGTTTATGACATGATCCCTTTGTATGATTTTAATGCTTTTTGTGAGCAATTAACAAAGTTAGATACTAATATATTAATTACTCTGTAAAGACTAGAGATTCTGTTCAGCTGAAGTTGAATACATAAATGTTTTTTAAATATGTATTAATATACATAAATATGGCATCTGCATGTCATTCACAGTTTTCATGTGTGTAATATACATCTATGTCATTTTAAAATGCAGGCCAAGGGCTCTGATCTCTTTATATTGCAGTCATATACTAATGTATTAAATAGTCCATGTCTATATGTATATTGCAGTGTAAGTAAAGTCATGCAAAATGTTAATAAAATATATAAAATATGTCATGAAAATGTAAATATGGATAAATATGTGATATATGTTACAGGTGGTGGTGCGTTTTATAGTTACCATGGTGATCTGATTACTCGGTGGGATTGAGAGTAAACGTGACATTCTGACTTTCTGTGATTTTCTCCATGACGGGGAGATACACTAGCGATGTGACGAATCTAGCAGCACCATCTGTACCGTCAGGTTTCACCGTGAATGGCTGCATGATGAAGCTGTCTTGGTTGCCTTGGTTACCTGTTACTTTTGCGTAGCTAACAGGATTACCATTTTCTCCGCTCATAACAACTGCCTCACCTTTGTGTTTAGCCACAATATGGGCTCGTAATTTCTTGTATCTGTTTGACGAAAAGTCACACTTGTTGCAGTTAAAGCTAGTTGGCTTGGCTGTTATGTCCTTGCCATGTTTGGTGATTTTTACTGATTTAGCGTTCGGGTGTGATTCTCGAATATGAAGCTTACATTGCTGTCGAGAGGGAAATCTTTCACTGCAGTGCACACAGCGGAATTTTTTCTTGGACATTTTACCCAGTGTCTTGTTCACTATTGCATTGGATTTAGCGATAGCAACATCAATTTGATCATGTTGTCTGGCCATGTGGCGTTGCAGAGAATGACCATATCGGAACGATTTGAAGCAATGGTGACAGACGTGCTCTCGATTAAAACCTGGTGGAATCTTGCCGATGTTATGTTTGCGTTGCTCATGAGAATAGATATTAGACAGCCATTTTGTTTTATAGTCACACTGTGAACAATTGATAAGTTTTTGTTTGAGGCTGCGGCTGTATTTGCGCTTGAGGAGGTGATAAGATGATTTGGTGGGTGAGTTAAGTTTTACCTCAGCCTGGTGCTCCTGGATCAGATGAATCTGTAGGGCAAGCATGTTTGGGCAATCTTTCTGGCATTCGCTGCATTTCTCAACCTTGCTCGAATTACAGTTGACATCAGACTTGCTGTGGATTGCAGCCGACAAGCCACTGTGGTCACGTAATTTATGTGTAAGCAACCATTTTGTGCTTTTAAAACGGCGCTCACATAAATTACAAGCTTCGGTGTACTCTTCGAAATACTGTTGGCAGACGTCAGCCTCTTTGGCAGGGGGGTCAGAGGTTTCCATGGGGGTGCCGCCATTGGGGAGTTTGTCCTCATTGGGGGTCCGTTTGGGGGCAAGCGTGCGACCAGCATTCAGGATCTGTTCTACTTTTGTGTTCACAACACCTTGGATATTGCTAGAGACGGAACCAGGGCTGCTGGGTTGAGAGGTGGAGATCAGGTCCTCGTAAATACCGTGCTTGTTGATCTTATGGGTACGTAGGAAATATTTATTGCACACTTCTTTGTTACAGATATTGCACTTGACTCGAGATGGATTTGAAGGGGTTTCTTTCCACTTCCAGGACGCCACTTCGGATCCAGATTCAGATTTGTTGGGGGTCATGGGAGAGGTTGGGGTGGTGGAAGGAGAGGCCTCATTGCTTGGTCTATCCAACTTCATCACCTTGATGCCATGTACATTAAGCTGATGGGTCTTGAAGAAATACTTGTTGCTGAACTCCTTCTTACACAACTTGCAATAAGACTCCACATCAATTCCCATCTTCTTTAGCTCATGTTGCTTAGGGCTGCCTTGACTTGGCATCAGCTCCATTTTGATGCCTTCTTCTTTGATGTTGACATTGACAGGATCTTTGACTGATTGGCTCAGCTGCGTCACTGTGTTTTCAAGAGTGGTGTCCATAGTGGTGCCAGTTGGAGATGCCTCTTCCTTAGACATGTCAATGCCATGTACCTTCTGCTTGTGTGTCTTCAGGAAATATTTATTGCAGACCTCCTTGTTACAGAGCTCACACATGACACGATCAGCAATCTTAGCAGCCATCATACTACCGAACATTGTCCCTTGTTGAGATTGCTGGAGAGCCAGAAGAGGATCAGTCATGGCTTGGTTAACAAGGGGCTCAAGCTTCACAAGGTTGGCAGTTTCTTCAGCGAGGTCTTTGTGAATGACACCGTGCATGTTAATCTTGTGGACCTTGAGGCTGTAGAGATTTGTCAGCTCTTTGTTACAGATGTCACAGACAGTTGTCTCACTGTTTTCTGTCTTGCTACCCTCAGCAGAGACCTTAGTGGAGGACGCCTCTGGTTTATCAGCATCCTTCGATGGACTTGCCTTGGCAGGGGATTCGGGATTGCCACCACCATAACTGCTCTTCTTCTCTTCACTGTAAATACCATGTTTGTTGGCTTTGTGTACACGCAAGAAATACTTGTTAGTGAACTCTCTGAAACACAGCTCACAGAACGCTTCCTTGTTGATATGGCGAAGTCTCTCAGGCGTGACTTGGACACCTTCAGCACCACTATTGGCAACATTCTTGATATGCGCAATGGAAGCAGAATCACCAGATGAGTTCTCTTGCTTGGCTTGTTCTTCTGCTTGTTGGATTTGCTTATGCTGCTCAGCAGCCATGGCTTGGGCTTGCTGAGCCTGGGCTAAGACTGCCTGAAGCTGGGCCTCTTGTATAGCCTGGGCTGCAATCTGGGGAGCCAGGGCATATTGGCCAGGGAGCATACTTTGTTGTTGTTGGATACCAGCCTGGATGAATGCCATAGGGGGCATGAATGGGTTAATGAACATGACGTTAGACATGTTGGGTACACCACCCATGCTCTCAGCCATAGATGTCATATTAGGCATACTTTGGATTGGTGGTGGTAAAGAGAGATCTAGTGACTGGTGGGCTGACGTAATATCAGGCTGAGGAGAGGGTATCTTCGTGACTTGGGGTTGAGGCTGTGGAGGGGTGATCAAGGCTTGATTCTTTGGACTAGGGTCACTAGGAGCAGGTGAGGTAGTTGGGCGAGAAGTTGACTTCTGCTGTTGTTGTTGTTGGGCCTTTTGCTGCTCCCGCTGGCGCTTACGTTCTTCCACATTCACATTGTGCACATCTTTCATATGCTTTTTGAGGTAGTATTTGTTGCAGAAATGTTTCTGGCAGATGTCACAATAATCTTCCATATCTGGTGTCAAACTTGTGGGAGTCATAGTAGTCAAGCTGGCCACAGTGAGATTCTTATTAGGGGCCGTCTTTTCTGGGGAGGGCTTCAGTAGGGGTAGCTGTGATGGGGCAGGTGGCTGGGGCAAAGGGACAAATGAAGGATAGGGCAGGCTGTTGCTAACAAAACTTGGGGTAGTGCTGGTTGACCCTATCGATGTGCCATCATATACACCATGCTTATTAGCTTTGTGTGTTTTAAGGAAATATTTGTTGCAGAATTCACGGTCGCAAAGCTCGCAGTAGGCATCCTGATGAAATATACGAGAGCCCTTACCACTACTGTCGCTACCATTGGAGTTAACAGGTAGGCCCTCCAGCATGCCCTCCATTGTCTGGCTCTGACTCTGGAATGGAGGTGATGGGGGGTTACTCAAGGTTTGAGAGTCCTGATCATCTGCACGGTGAGATTCTGGCTTAATAGACTGGTAAAACTCATTACCAAGCTGGTGATATTTTGTGGGGAATTGCTCCTGGGGCTCGGGCTCATTTGTTATGTTCTCTTTCATGTGAACACTCTCGATATGTGTGTTAAGTAAATCTTTGGTTGGAAATGTTTCTGGGCATTGAGTACAGCTGTTCATATCAGTGTCCATATCTTGCTCTTCATTTTCACTTTTGTCACTACTTACAGCTGTATCTGCATCCCCATTGGTGGGCTTAGCTTGTGCCTGATTGGCTGAAACAGCGGCATCAGCTTCTGGATCATCCAATAATGATACCCGAATAGGTTTGGATTGTTTGCGTCGACTAGATTTCATGCTGTTACGATTGTTAGCATTTATTTCCTGAGTTTCCATATCATCTGATTTATTCACAACCGTGTTCGTGATATCACCAATTTTGGTGGAAATGTTATCATTGGCCATTGTGATGTCATTGTTTTGTGAATCCATAGTGATCATAGTGTTTTCTTGTATTATGTTTGGTCTCCTGGGCATCATATATTGACCCAGTCAGTTAGCGTCTTGTGAGTTCTGAAAAAATAAAGTCAAAACCTTTGAACGTAACTGCTCACAGTTCAGCGTATTACATGTAATTGTCTAAAGCTTTGTTTTTCAATGCTTATATTATTAATGTTTATCATTTATTTTAAAGTCACATCCTTTTATTTGGTTGCTATGACAGTCATGAAAACTTTAATAATATGTAGGTTGTATTTTGAAGGCAACTGCTCACAGTTCAATGTCCATGTGTATGACATGTAATATTAATGTCAAAAGTTTTGTTTTTCAGCACTAATTAATGATCATCACCTATTTTAAAGTCACATCCTTTTATTTGGTTGCTATGACAGAGATGATAACTTTTAAGAAAAAAAATAATAGAGATAAATAATATGTAGGTTGTATTTTGAAGGCAACTGCTCACAGTTCAATATCCTTGTGAATTAAATGTAATATAAAAGTCAAAAGCTTTGTTTTTCAGTACTTATTAATGATCATCTACTTTAAAAGTCACATCCTTTTATTTGGTTGCTATGACAGGCATGATAACGTTTAAGAAAAAAATAATAAAAAAAGAATAATATGTAAGTTGTATTTTAATCAAAACCTTTTTTTCCTGAATCAACATCATGAAGGAAGATAATGACTTATGTTCCAGTGAGTCAGCGTTAATTATAGAAAATTATGAGAAAACTAAAAAGTTTAAAGTTTGTAGAATTTTGATGAGCTCAACATCAAGTCATCATGACAATGTTAAGAATCTTTAAAATTATGTAAGCAACTAATATACAGAATAAGTGATGCATGTATAGATAACTAGAAATTCAGAAATCAATGATACATTTGGTGTTGGTTTACCATTTATGATTTTAAATTTCAGTCAAATGACCATAAACTGAACAGAGTTCAATCTTCAACAAACCTGCATATGCGATACATATATTAGTAAATAGAAATGTTTTAAACGTCAATAATCAAAAACTGCATGTCTTAAAAGTCTACAAACTTCGAAGTCTCAAAATATTTTAAGTTCAACCTAAACTTCACTCAAGCAGGGCTACCACATGTTAGATATACTGCACCTATTTATAATAATCTTTCTACTGCTACTGATTATGCAAAATCTTCATAATCATGATATTGCATAACTTGCTTAAGATTGAAATTCTATCTGAGTGTATAATTATCCTCATTAAAGCTTCTACATTAGAACCAGCGGGGTTCTTCAACTGCAGTTGGTCATTACAGATTTTTTCACAATCTAATTTTGTCCAAACTGCAAACTAATCATCCTAAGTTTCTTTGTTTAAGTACTGATTACCAGGCATCCTGTCTACAGTATGTCATTTTTTATTGAATGTAGAACCAATTAAAATCTTGCAGTGTAAAATCTACAAGATGGTTGCAAAAACAACATAATTCAATATGAGCTTGAAACAGAGGCAAAATTTATATATAACTACAGGCATGATGTTTCAGTTTTCAGTTCACGAGTTTTTGGTTTTATTTATCCGATTATATCATTTGTTTCAAGAGAAAACCATCTTCCTGGTTTTTCATCTCAATACTTATGTCGCATTATGTTGATGAACAAACTTATAAATGTTAATGCTATGAATTACATTTTGTTTGCTAATTGGTTTTGAAAGCTTCTTAGATTGTATATCAAATCCATCAAAGTAAAATAATGAAATTACTAATCCAAAGGCATTGAAATTGATTTTGCCACCAAGCATTAATATGAGATTTAATGAGGCCTTTTTAGTTGTATAATAAGCCAAACCTTGTATGTAATACAGGAATTTATTAGTTCTGAAGATTCAAGTTTCATTAGGACCTATTGTTTCATGCAAATCAATAACTAATGCAAGTATCATGCGATATCTTCTTCACTGACCAATTCAAGATTTTACTGAAAACAACAACAGTGAGACTCACTGGTTTAATAAGGGTGAAATTCAAAGCTCTAACAGCGCTAGCTTTGCAATCTCCTTATATAGAACTGTGTTATAAATGCTAAGATATACCAAGTGCTGGCAAACGCTTGACTTTACAATCTTGAAATTCTTCCCTCTCCATTAAAACAGACCTGGCCTTTAAGTCTTAATGATAAAGATAGGGATGCACATAAAGTTTTCATAGAACATTAGTAATACCTAATCTTCTTAAATTATTCAGTTTATATGTGTGAGATCCTGCTGGCATTTTAATTAATTACATTGGGATGTTTGCACATATACATGTATATGTGATAATTAAGGATGAACATGAAAGATAATACTGACCATCTTCCTGCCAGTGGCCCCAAATCTGAATTTCAAAACAAACTGTCTAATTCCTGTTAAAATGAAAGTAATATCACTTAGAGTTGAAACCTTCCTGCTGCCCAAGGTCTTACATTTAACCAGAACAAGCTACAACATGATTTGCATTAAATTCATAAAAGTCTATTTATATCAAGAAGTTTTATTAGCAAACCAGCCTTCTAGCCTCTTCTGATAAGCTACTCTTCAGATTTTCAAGATGGCCGACTCTTGGAATTAAATTTATAATTTTGATAATGTCAAAAAAGACTGGCTCGTATCTGATTACACTTTGGAAGTGCGCCAGTCATTCTCAAGCACTTTATTGAATATTTGCTCATGATAAATTCCATAATTTGAACAGGCCTAACAAGCTTTCTTTGTGTAATTTAAGGATTAATTTTGATGCATAATTGGGGAGGATGGTTTAACTTTGCTCTTATCTGCTACATATTGGCACCATACATCCTACTAATCTTAGAATAAACCAACGGATTGAATTTCAACTTGAAAATTAAAAGTTGAAAATGAAATCTGGAGATTTGGGGAATGATCAACATGAAATACATATCAATAATCTTGAAAAGTCTTACACGCTTAATGAGAGTCATCAAAGCAAATAAGCCTTTCATATCAACGAAGCAGACCAAAATTTTAATAACCAAAAAATCAATAAATAACCTAACGATATTGACTTGTAATTTTCTCTTGGCCTTATGTAAGTATACATGTTAAGATACTTTGCTTTCACTATCTTAGCAACCAAAAATAAAGTAATGTCATATTTTAATACTCTTAAAATAAATCTACATATAGGCATACATCCTAAGCATCAATATCTATCTAAAACATGCATGTAATTTTCCAGATGGCTTATTTACAAATTGTTCAATTGTACAAGCAGGCCTATTGATTTAATTTCAAGACCTCTGTTTCGCTACATTCTACACAATATTCATTTCACTTCTTTCTTACAGACCTTAAGATATCAAACTGCTTGTCTTCTCAATAAATTCTAATTTATTTTGCTTCGTGAATTGAAATGGAAAGTTCACATTTGATTGATCTAGCCTAATAATTTCATATTTCGCTGTCACATTGAGTCTTATTTCAAATAATCACCTTCGGAAAATTGTCTTACCCTTTTTTCCAAAGCTACACAGTTTAATTTGTAATTTCCGACTTGTTAAAGTTTGTAGTCCTGTTTTTGTTAGATGCCCTTTGAAGGATCTTGCACCCAAAGGATCATTAAAAATCTAATTTATTATTCTCATCGAAGAATGTCCTGTGTAATACTAATACCCAATAGATTAAAATTTTCCACTTTTACGCAGTTTCTTAGTGCATTCAATCAATTTAATTTTCCATTTCAGGCCTACTAAATTAATTATTACTTCTGCAATTTACGACAGCAATTTGGCATATAAATTTTTAACTTCCCACGAACATCAATAATTCCACTAGCATAGAGTTCTCCTATATTGAATAAGTCAGCCTACTACAGGCGAAGAATTTCAACTAATTTCAATGTGAGGCATTAGAGAATATTGATTCTCTGCGATGCTTTTTAAATCTCTCTGCCTCAATATATAAAATAGGAAATGGCAGCCACTCAACGCATTTCCAATAACATTCTATTTTCATTTGATGTGAATTATGTTGATATCCAATATGTTTTTAAAATTTAAAGTAAAAAGACGACATTTCATTATTTTCAACTTGAAGCTAACTTTTTCAAACAGAAACAAAAGAGATGATGTCATTGAAAACACTGAAATATTAAATCAATATACAGCAGAGAGTAGATAATATTATATTCAAACAATAAACATGTAACAAAGGCTATTGTTATACATAATATATGAAATTCTAATTTAATTTCAAATTCATTATTGATTCATTTGAGATTTGACAGATTCACCCTATGCTTAGTGAGCGGAGCTAATTTCAAGGGTGGTGGTAAAGACGAGGCAGGGCGCCCAAAAACCAAAAAATATTAGTACCATAATCTTTTAAGTCGTATTATTGCAGCATAAGGTGATGATATTGTGATATTTTATGCTGTTTTAGAAGTGAAAGATGTTAAACTATGCATACCGTTTGTTTTACATCCAATAAAACGAATAGTTAAGATGAAACAGTCGTTTAAAGATACAATTTGAATTTACCGCAAGAAATTACAACCTTATATTGTCAATATGTCAATAATTCCTGATCGATGTCACATATAAAGATATATGTACCTAGATATGTTTTATTTTTTCATATATGCGAAATAAGGCGGTCTCTAGTTATGTACATCCAATGCAAAATGAATGTTTACTAGAGTGTCTATTCGGCGATCAGAATTTCGATGACGAGCAATGGCGATGTAATTTGCGAAGAAAGCATCAGTGCACCTAGTTACAGGCCAGGTTTGGGCGCCATGCCTCGTCTTTACCATCACCCTTGAAATAAGGTCCGCTCACTAAGCATAGGGTGCAGATTGTTTCTCAACAAACTGACAGATAAAATTCTCCAACTTTAAATCAAGATTCCAGCATCTAAATAATGTTAAAACTTAAATAAAGTACGCAGTCGTGTGTATTAGATACTATTCTATTCTATTGTTACAGTTTTGATGTTGTTTAGGTTAATTTAATAGAAGAAAACACTGCATAACTTACCAGCTCAAAACGCACTTCTTACTGCTCTGGCCATTCTTTATTACCCACAATGCAATACTGTCATGGCGGCGCCCACGAAAATTAAACCACGTCAAATTTTCTGCGACTAAATTAACGTTTTCTCGTGAGTATGACTTTATTTTGGTTTCAAACTTAGCTCACCTCGAATATAGAGTGTTGTGCTTAAGTAGGATACATCAAATTATGATTTTAACTACAAACAGCGTCAGAAGTTTGAAGATAAACCCAGATTTAAAACACCTGCAATTTTGGTCGAGTCTATTATTTAAAAGTGGTGTTGGTCATTACTTATGCACCTAATCAAACCATACACGACTTTTAAAACATCTTTTAATGCATTTGGGCATCCAATAGTGTAAGGTGTAGCATATGTGTACATACATATGTACATGAATGTACCATATATTAACAATTCAACTTTATTTACTTTCCTCTCACCCCTTTTAAAATAGTTGACGACCCCATCATACTCAGCATGTAAACATAATCTGAAATTATTGAAATGCTTTGTTTCAATTCAATAATTATGGTTCATTGTGTAATGTGGTCAACACCTCACAGCATGACATATATGGCAATCACACTTTGTCTGAACTTTGAAATTGAACAGACAGATACATTGCCTCTCTGACTTGTGCCTCAGATCAGTAGACATGATCAATGTCCTAGCCTTGCCCAAGTCCATAATCTGTTATAAGGGGTTGGAAATTATATATCAAGACATGTTGGAGGGATTTCACTCAGATTTTTGTATTTATGTTGAAATATTTTTAAAATTCAGAAAAAGTGATAGAGATGCCTCAAACACATTGTTTTTTCATGTCTGCATCGTACATTGGGAGCATATGAGCATCTATAGGTGCCAATATACAAGGGGCGATCCATATATTCTAATAAAAATATTGTTTCACATATCCCTCACATGTAGATTATGTAATTACATGTACACATACAATGCTAGAATATTTTAGCTATATCTTAAATTAATTTTGAGATATTTCCATGGTAACCTGTATTTAGGGTAGGCAGGTCAGTTAAATTATAACATATAAAATAGATGAATTTGTTAATTTAATCATTCCTCAGTACCTATTTTAAGCAGATCAACGCATCTTCAGGTCATTGCCAACTATTCGTTGAACTGTTCCGTGCCCCTGTTGCCCTTGTTTGATAATTTCCACAGTGGGATAGTTCTCTCTTCATAAATTGCATCTCAAATTATTGTAGTATTATTCTCTGTCTGCAAGCACTTCTTACAACCAGATTGTGTATGATCTTCAACAGTGACCTTGCCTTCCTTAAATTTGCAATACTACCTATAGATACGTGGAGCAGATATAACACCTTGCCCACACACCATGTATGTCTTACTTATTCTTGATAGTACATAAAATCTAATGGTACTCCTAATGTATCTGTGCATCAGCCATACTAACCTCATCTGACATTTGAATTTTTGGTGTGTCCTATGACATGTATGCCAATTGCTACATTCTGTCATACATTGCTATTGTGAATTGTTGTGATGTTATTAGTGAGCACAAATAAACATTTGTTTAGCAACAAACAACGAGCAACAATACCAAACTTTTTTAGAAAAAATGTATGATTTCTGCGTGCTTTAAAATAATTAAAATAACAAGTTATTATGCTATTTTACAGCTTATAATTTAATTGACCCGCCTACCCTTAATACAGGTTACCATGGCAACCCTATCATTTAATCAGTTTAGGATATAGTTAAAGTATTTTAGCATTGTATGTGTAATTACATAATCTACATGTTCTGAAAAAATGAAAGGGATATGTGAAACAAATCACAAGATGAGAGTATTTTTATCTGAATATATGGATTGCCCCTTGTATAAGTATACCAAGCCTTAGGTACATTTAAAAATATTTGGGATCTAAATTCTTAAAGTTTGGGTCATCTTTTAAATTGGACACAAATGATAGAATGTTGCAGTTTTGACAAGATAGCCTAAAAAACTTAAAAGTGGCAAAGTACTTGTAGATTTTCTGGGTTTCAGCATGGGCTTTCAGTGGAGAATGGTAAAAAATGCCAGTGTTATTATTGAAACTAAAATTTCACTCAGAGAGTATTATTCAGCCTGTCATTGGGAGTGACCATAAAATGAAGATTTAGAGAAAGTGAACTCATTGCCATGTTTGTCACAGGTCTAAAGAGTGAGACAAAGTCCAGCACTCTGACAAAGAGTACTCCAACTGAAACACCAGGCTAACACTACTGACCTTTAACCACTCTCTCTTTGAGTATGATTGTACATTTTACAAATATTTTAAAGCAGCAATGCCTATGTTACCCCCTTCTAACTAAACAAAAGACAAACTTCATTCTGAAAGAGAGATAGGGAAGGCACTAAAGACAGAAATATGCAAGGCTCTACAACATCTGGACATTTTGTGTTATCTTTGAAATTCATGGCTAAACTGGGTCAGGATACTGGTGTGAGTTACAGAAATTATGAGAGAATTTGCTGAAAGTGAAATGTAGAAAAATATCAATACAATTGGTTTAGAAAGCAGGCATATTTGTATTATTGAACAATCTTTAGTAGCTTTTTGTTGTTCTTTTCAGTATAGCATTGAATCTGTTGATTTTAAAGCTTAAGTTTGAATTGAGTGATGGGATGCTATATAAAAATCATTATCCTTGTCACATTTAAGTATTGATAAAAAATAAGTTGATCTGGATTATGATAATTAGACCCGTTACCTGAAATGGAAACTCCACATTGGTTGAGAAAAGCGATCACATGATTAAAATCAAAGGCTTCTTCTATTGATAACCATATATAGCAATATATCTAGCTTATTATCCTAGCAAACAAAGTGAAGGGCCAGTGGCGGACCTAAGAATTAAGAAGGGGGGGGGGCAAAGTTTGAGTCAGGAAAAAAAATTTGGGCCCTTAAATCAAAAATTGGGCCCAAATTTTAAAAAATTAAGGCCCATTTTGATAAATTGGCCAAAAAGGCCAAATTATGGCCAAAAGGCCCATTTTTTGAGGCCCTACAAAATTTTAGGCATAGACAACAATGATACACAATAATAGCATGTAAAAAGGATAAAATATAACATAAATATGATTTATCATGATTGAACAGTTTTGCTGAAGATGTTTGCACCACACCCTTAATATTTCCTGGTGAGAACACCCTGAAGAGACATAGAGAAGCCATATGTCCAATGGTTCATTTGTCTACCTTACCAATAACTCAAATTCATGTTGTCAGATTGGTATATGACAACCTTTAGCATGAGAAGGAAATTCCAAAATGGCCACTTATTTCTAAAAGTTTGCCACTTGTTTTAAATGTCATTTTTGTCTAAATTGTACTCTTTGGGAATTTTTGGTTAAATTAAACAACCTCTGAGAACTTTGGAATCAGCCTCCAAATTCATAATAACCACCTTTTTTGGTAAGAAAATCTGACACATATTTTATTTTGAATATTTCATGCTCAGTTAGGATGATTTTCAAAATGAAGAGCTTTTTGATAAAATATGTTTTTACAATTGGGATTTAAAACTTACTCGTGTTGCTATTTTACTAATTCTAAAAATATTATTTGAGCCCAGCTTGTTCGGCTTAGTAAAGCTTTATCTTCATCTTTTTTTAAATCAAATTAAATCTGTAGAAGCCAAATCTCTAAGTTAAATCCCTCTAAAAATTCAGATTGATTTAATTTTGGTTAGTGTTTAACAATTTAAGCCTCCATATATATAAACTGAAAGTGCATTTTCTAAATTTTGATGTTTGATCAATCTGATGTAAATAACCCCCCCCCCCCTCCAGCAAATATACAAATAAGAGCCAATGAATGTTATTAATGTAACTAACTGACCAAGGAAACATCTGACTTAAACTTTATCATTTTTATGATGTCCAGGGATGGTTTAGGCAACTCTGTTTTACTCATTTTTGATGGCTGATCAAATCTTGCTAGACAGACTCACTAGATTATGATATATAAGAAACTCTTATCATCTTTTTCCTTGACAATATATTTGAAAAAGCTTAGCTTTGAAAAATTGTCTTCATATAATATGCATGAAGCAGCGCTTACTGTAAATTCAAATTAAATAAAATTATTGAAATTAATTTCTTTGTTTTAGGACATATCCTGTCTGAAAGTTTAATTTATTGCTTGACCATTAACTCCTTAATTCCTTAATTATTCCTGGATGAATGGCAGGATGTTATTACAGAATTAAGCCTCTGTTTACAAAGTGTAAAAGCTCATATTTATCATCATCACAATCTCTAAAATTCCTTCATTATATCTGCATAAAGTTCTTTGAAAATATTCTCCATCATTCTCAAAAGGTACTATTGAATAAAAATGATAATCAAATAACAGAATACTGCTTCATAAAATATGAGATATTTGTTGCTAAGGTCACCTTCCTTCATATCAAACATGGCCGGTGAAATGGAATAAATTCAAGTGGACGTTTTTTCTGCATCGCTCATAAAATTTAGTCTCAATAAATTGGCTCATATATTAGATTGTATGAAGCATTGATCCAGAGATACATTAATGCAAGACCAGAGCTTTTGCAAGTATATCGCCATTCTTATTTTGCATGTGAATGTCACTCTATGTTTTTATGGCCCAACTATTGATTTTTTTACATTTTAATAATCAGAGAGACGATGAAGAGTGAGCGAGAGCTGCCTTTGACATGTAACTGCAGAGTTCTCGATGTTGGCATTTTCCAGATCATATTTTAGTACAGTACTTCAATTTCAATTCTAGAGAAGCATGATTCAAAATATTATTAACATTTGGAAAATTCATGATGTTACTGGGATGTTTCTATGGAAACTAACTTACATTTCAAGGGGTCTGTCGATGCAGTTATTAAATTTCTGATATCTCTGCATCGCCTCTTGACTATTTCAAGACCCAAGTTTGTTATTTCTACAAACTTACATCCTATGTAATCAAAGTACACTTTATAGTTCTCTGATCATTCATTATACATGTTTGTCTTGGAGTGTAATTAAGGCTTGGCCAGGGATGATGTATAATGAAATCATTTTTCTGCCAATATAACATGACGAAAGTCAATGGGATTAGCCTGACTAAACAAATTCCTGATTTCAAATATTATCTGAAATGTCAATTCCAAAATTGAATCACATACACAGTTACATTTAAACTAGGTTGGATGTCCCATTTGCATAGATATGTAATATGTTCTTTATAGAAAATGGGT